AGTGTCAGAGCTGTGCTGCACCCAGGCTTCTTGAGTTAAGACCTGGGCTCTAAACCTCTTGGTAGGCACTCAACTCTAAGGCAAAACCTCTGGCTCAACTACTAACTGCACAACTGGGCTTCAGACCTCAACTGTGCACACAACTGCCCTCCAGTACTTCCCCCGCAGAGGTCCCGCATGTCCTGCACTCCATGTGTCCACAAACGCAACCTCATCCACTCACACTCCTGTCTGTCCCCTGCAGTCTGCCATGCTCAGTGCCAGTCTGGTGTCTTTGTGAGAATCAGAAAGAGGCACCTTCTCTCCAGGTGACACAGGCCCAAGCCAGGCTGCAGGGCCTAGTTAATAGGGGCACAGTCTGCACAACCGAATGCAGTGTCCCTGGCTCCACCATCTTCCAACTTGCTCAGGACAAATACTTGGACTTAGCCTCGATCTATCTCTCTCTGTGTCTCCAAGATCTCTCTATTCTGCTTCTCCAGGAGGCCAGGGTCTCCAGGGAACAAGGTCCCAGAAATGGTGCCATCCCTCATCCCCCGCCCCCTGAAATAATGGCCCCACTGGGCTCCCAGACCATTTCTGAGTGAAGGAGAGGTGTGACATCAGGACTAGGATGGCTAAGCCCCCAAAATCTTGGTGCTGCCAGCAGTATAAGGAACCTGAGGTATTCACGGACTTGGCTGCAGGGAGGGGGCACTAGAGGACCAGCTGCCCTTGCGGCCCATCGGAAGACCCAGCAAAGTGCTGGCACAATCTGAGGGGGCGCCACGCAACTGTGCCATGGGAAGACCTCTGGTCCCAGCAACTGTGCCATGGGAAGGCCTCTCGTCCCAGCACTGAAGGGGTCACTTGGAGCTCAAGTTCAAAGACTCTGCTGAATCTCTGCTTCCATAGAGTGTGCAGCCACCAGGTGGCAGTCGAGGCCACAGACAGATAGGGAGAGCCCCTCCTGAAACTGAAGGCCAGATGGACCAGCAATGTTCAAGAGGCAGCCTGTCACTGGCCCCAGGACCTTAAATCAGAAAAAGAGAGAGAGAGCACATGTGTGTGCATGTGCGCATGTGTGTGTTTCTCTGCCTGTGTGGGGTTGAGGTGCGGACAGACACACAGCTGGAGTTTACACCACACTGGGCTTCCCTTCCCCTGTCCAGCCCTGTCGTGGATGCTGGTGACAGATGTGACCCCCTCCCTGCCCTTGAGGAGCTCCCAGACCTGGGGCTGGAGCTGGGCACAGACAAGTAGACAGGCAGCACAGCAGGGTGGGTGGGGCAGGAGAGGTGGGTGCAGAGACAAGGGAAGTGTGGGGCTGGAGCTGGCCAGAGGAAGTGCCTAACCCGGGGTGGAGGAGAAGCATCCCGGAAGAAGTGGCATCTAAGATGACCATAGAGGGCTTCCTGGCATGTTTCTGGTGTAATAATGACACATATGTCATCTCTGTTTCCTCCCGGTAGGCCTGCAGGAAAGACATTACAGAAGCAGTTTCACTGGCAAGGGAATGGAGGGTATGGAAGGCTAGGGGTTCCCATGGCCAGTGAGGAGCAGAGCGGGGATTTGAACCAGAGTCTGTGTGATACCCAAGCTCAAGCTTTTGGTCACTGTACACACTGCCAGGGACTGAAAACTGAGAGGAAAACCCAGCTGGAAATCAAGACGCCCAGCCAGATCCTTCTGCCCCCACCTCTACACCTGCACTCGGGGAGGAGGCTTTGCCCGGCTGTAGTCCTGACTGGTTGGCTCCTTGAAGCACAGTTAAGTACTTCTGAGTATGAGGGAAGTAATATTGAAATTCATCTTGACCACCTGGCACTCTCTCCTACAGCAGGCGAGACTCTGGAGATAGAACTCCACAGCCTTTTTTAAAACCTCCTCCAGGCTGGAAGTTCCTCTTGAAGTCTAACTGAAGTAAGCAGTGCTGCAGTCTCCCTTCAACTGTGTGGTTCCTGGGTGGAGGCTTTCCTTTCCTGCCTGAGTTTGGGTGAGGCCAGTAATATAACCCTGTGACATTTACATGTTTTAAGCAGGAAAGCAGAAAGAAAGGTACAAGCACTGTCCCAGGAAGCAGGAAGAGCAAGAAGGTCCTGAACAGTAAGAGAACATCCTGATCCTGGAGCAGAGCTTTGGGCAGCCTGAGCATTCCGGCAGAGAGCTGGGATCAGTGGGAGATGATGCCACACAAAGAAGTGAGGTCATGGGACTTGCCCAGCCAAGGGGTGACATCTGAGAAGCTTGGGATAGTGGGGAGAGCTGGGGAGGGGGCCGTATGGAGAACCAGCTGGAAAGGGAGAAGAGATGCAAGGGGAGAGAGGATGGTGGGCACTGAGTTCAGGTGGAGAGAGGAGAACAGGGAGACGTACAGAGAATGGCAAAAGATGGAGACTGAGACAGAGATTAATACAGGCTGGAGAGACAAAGAGGAGACCAGGACCCAGGACAAGAGGGAGAGGTTCTACACTGAGAGAAAAGGATAAGAGAGGAGCAGGAAAGTATGGAGGAGCACAGGCCTTTTAGGGATTTCTGCAGGGTCCTAGTCCACTGCTCTGGCTTGCCAGGTCCCCTGTGTCACTCCAGGAGCTCTGAATCCCCTCCACCAGGGCCAGGGGCAGAGAGCTTGCCTCCAGCCCCGCCCCAGCAGAGAGGCTCCCCCTCCCAGGCCCTCTGAGGCGCCTCCAGGGACTGCTTGTGCAGCCGATAGATGGTGGGGGGCCCAGCTGGTGTGTTATCAGCCTCCTCCAGGAGCAACCCTGAGCCACTCAAAGGCTGCCAGTCTGAGATTAGGCCCCGGGAGGGTCATTAAGCAGTTGCCCTGGCCCAGGCCCAGCCTCCTTTCCCTCCCAGATCTGGCCAGGCTGGCAGGTGGGAAGGAGCGATAAGGATTGGGGGTCTGGGGCCAGCAGCTCCATGCTCCTAGCCCCTGGTCAGGGCAGAAATATGAGGTGGGGGTAGGGGTGTGGGGCTGTAAGGTCATTGCCAGCACAGCCCCTGCAGGGACCCTCCAGGGTTCTCACCATCCTGATCCTGCCCAAACTGAGGGAGTGAGAATGGAGAGGGGCTAAGGCTGTTAGAGAGACCCCAGACAGACTGCTGGAGACCCTGCCCCAGGCAGCTGCTGGGGAACAAGGCAGGTCCAGGCAGAGGAGGGCCCCTACTAGAAAAAACCTCACAGGGGTGAGGGGATGGGCTTCACTTGCTACAGGGAGACAGGGATGGTAGATCTGCCTGCTGTCTCTGGCAGGCTAGGGGGTACCAGACTCAAACCCACACCAACTCCCCAGGAACAACTGGGGGCAGAGGCGGGAGGGAATATCCTTCATGCAAGGAGAATCAGATCCAAGCAGCCAAAAAAAGTCCCCGACAAGGAGGCTGGAGAAGAAGAAGGGGTGTTTGTGCCTTAGCAGAGGCCTGACCCTCTAGGAAGTTCTCTCTCCTTCCGTGAGTGAGAAGGTGGGCTGGTTGGTCACCTGGCTTTGCCCTCTGGCTAATCAAGGAAGACTTCCCAGAGGAAGACGAACTATGGCTGGGCCAAGAAAAAAGAATAGGCAGAGTTTAAATGGTCAAGGTGGAATGAGAAGGCATGAGTCACAGTAAGTCATGTGAGCAAAAGCCTAGAGTAGAACTCTCAAGAGCAACAGCCACAATTTATTAAGCTGAAGCCCAGAGGGAGGTGGGCGGTGACTTACCCCGGGTCACACAGCAAGGCAGGGGTAGGCCTGGAGCAGACACTGCTTCTCCCCACGCCACCCTCTGCTCAGCGCTCTTCCCTCTGCTGCAGGCTGCATCCTAAACCCCAGGGAGGCAAGAAGGGATCATTCTGATTTAGGATGGGTCTTCCCCAGCGGTATTTGGGTGAGGCCTTGGAGGAGCAAAGGAATGGCTATAATGGTGAAGCAAGGGGGCCATGACAAGTTCAGACAGGTGGCAGAGAGCGAGCTTTTGGGACAAGGTGTACTGCCTGCTGCCCTTTAGTCCCACCCCTCTGGATCTAGGAGTGCTCCTGGGTAAGTCTGTCTCAGGTTATCACCCCAGACAGAGAGTCACAGAGGCTAAGGGCCCCCAGGGTTAGCCAGCCTGCTAAGTCATGCCTCCTCTCTCCTCTGTCTCCTGCTTCATTCCCACTAGGACCCAGTTCCCTGACCCCCACCCCAACCCCAGAACTAGCAGTCAAGGGTATTGGCGAGGACTGAGTTCTATTCCACCTCTGTGGTGAGACTGTGGCCAAATTCTCCAGAGAGAAACTGAGCTCAGAGAGGACAGTAACTCTCCCAACGTCACACAGCAATTTGGCAGGGGACCCAGGACTCAAATGCAGCTTTCTGAGTCTCAGTCCAAGACTCTCTCCCAGAACTTCCTGTGCAAAGCCCAGCACAGAGGGGATATGGGGAGGGGGATAGAACTAGAGATGATGATGATGAGTGAACCCACCACAATGCCAGGCAGCATGGAGACAGGGGGTGGGGTGCAGGTGCTGCCCAAGGAAGGGCCCAGAATTTATCTCAGATGTGAAGGGTGGGTTGGAGGACAGGGTCTTGCAGAAGGAGCTCTCACTGGAACAGGGTAGGGTGGCCTGGCACCCTCTTCCTGCCCATGTACATGAAAGAGAAACATCTTGAAACTGACCAGAGCTAGGGGCACTGGCTCACATCAGGGTCCGCCCTACCCCGAGGAGCCTCTCTTGACTTATCTGGCTGAAGGGAGGATTTTGCCAAAGGGAAAGAGGACCACTCCATTGGCAGGGAAGGGTTCACCTAGCCCTCTGGCTTTCCAACACCCCCACACATGCATGGGGGCTCCACAGACACCTGCACTGTGGGCACTTCTCACTGAGACAGCAGAAGAGACGCTGGCTTTCTTTTACTCCCACCCAGGCATGCAATCTCTCACCCTCTCTAGTACTGGCCCCCTTGGCCCCAGCTGTTTTGTGGGTGCAGGGGCTTCCTGGGTAATCCTCCAAAGCCACCATGCAGTGGCTTCTGAAGGTGATTGTTATGATTCAGAAAGCAAGATCCAGCCTTGCTGGAAGACTGAGGGGCTGCTTCTGAGCCTCAGCCCCAGAAGTACAAAAAGTCTTTATTTCACAGAAATAGCCATTTCCATGGTTTTGGGGAGATGGGAGGCAGGATGGGAGGTGCTGAGCTGACTGTCCTCTTCAGAAGGCTCTTCTGAATCAGGTGGGAGACCCAGGAAGACCCCAGGGCCACAGCAGAGCCCCAACCTGAATATGGTCTGAGCTCCAACCTTGGCTGGCTATAATTCAGGGAGGGGCTGGAGGGAGTCGGCCTATTATTGTAGATTTCTGCACAGAGAAGGAAGAGGCTTGGGTGGTAACTTTGGGCATCGATCACAGGCACCTGAGAGCCTCAGGACTGGGGCCACAGGTGAGCCAGGGTCACATGGACGTGCTGCGGACCCTGCCCTCCTCCTCCTCGGGGACATTCTCATAGGCATTCTCATGCTCACTGGACCTGGAAGAGGATGGCAGGGGCTTGGTGAGTCCTCATGCCTCCCACCCCATCCCCTTTTCCCTGCCCCATCCTCCACATATGAAGGCAATATATTCCAGTAGGGGGTTCTCCTGACCACATCTGGGCTTGTGCACCTGAGACTGAAGGCCTCTCAGCACCACCTCCCTGGACCCTCCATCTCTCCTCCACTGGGCCCTTCCCCTACTGGGTCCCCACTGAGCAAACCTCCCCCATTGAGCCTGTCCCCCATTGACCTCCCTCCCCTTCAGAGCCCTCTCCCCTCTTTGAGTCCCCCAATTCATTCATACCTTCACTGAATCCCTTTCCCCACTTGAGTCCCTTTTTCCCACAGTACCCACAGCCTTGTAGGTCCCAATCCACCCACTGAACCGTCCCCTTACCAAGTCCTCATCCCTTTACTGAGCTCTCTCCCCAACTGAGGGATCATCCCCCAATGGAGCCCTAGAGTCCTTGCAAAGCTCCCACCCTCACCCTGTTCCCCACAACACCTGGTCCTGAGGCCCCCGGGCTCTCACCTGAAGTTGGCTGCCATCGAGGAATACCTTCCTTCTGTTCCTGCCAGGACTCCATCCGCCTTGTTCCCAATAGTCATGACCACACCCGCAGGTTCCCTGGGGACAGAGCTCATCAGTGGGTCCCCTTCATCCAAGCAGACCCTGCTTCAAGTTACAGTTCTAGCAAGCCTAAGGGCCAGAGGCTGCCCCTTCGTGGGAGCACCTCTGCCCAGCAGGACCTGCCAGCGCCTGCCACTCCCTTCTCCCTGCCCCACAGTGGGAGCTGGAGATTCAACAAAATTATCCTTGGTCCCAGGCCTGTCTCACTACCTCCCAGCCACCCTCAGCTCAGCAAACCCAGCAGGACTCAGTGTCTGCCCCAAATTTTCACAGGATGTTCCCAGACAACAGGAGCTGATGTAGTCAGGGGCCTCAAAGGCAGAGAAATGCAGAATTTCTAACAAAAAGCTCCTGGCCTCTTGCTCAAGTTTAATCCCACTGCAGTGTGAGCTCTGTCCCCCACCTTACCCCTGGAATTGCTCTCACAAGGGTCACAGGGACCCTCACACCCGCTCATCTTTCCTTGGAATCCGATAGGCACCTGAGACTAAAAACGTCCCAAATTAAACTCAGCAGTTGCCCAAAATCTGCTCATCCTGTTGTGTTCTGTGCCTCAGCGGGTGGTCCCCAGTCAGAACCTCAGACATCATCCCTGCCTTTGTCTAACTCCCAGGAGGCCACCTCTAGACAGCACTAGACCTGTCCCTTCCCTTCTGTCCATCCCCTCTGCTGCCTCTATGTGCCAGACTCTCTTCTGACCCCATGCCTGCAGACTGCCCCACCCCAATGCCTGCCCCCACCATCCCTTGGGCAGCCAGACCTGATTCTGCTAAGGCTGTGTTTCGCCCCAAGACTGGCTTAAAAACTTGTTGCTGGATTCCTATTGCATTAATATAAAGCCCAAAATTCGGGTCATTGGTGTACAAGGGTGTGCTTGGCCCAGGTCCTGTCTATCTCAGCAGCCTCATTTTGGGCATCTCCATCCCTCTCTCTACCCCCTGAGCTGCTTGTGTTTCTTCAGCAGGCCTTACAGGGCAGCTGCAAGGGCACCCAGTCCACAGGCCTCCTTTGGGAGAACTGGGAAAAGATGCACCTGGGGATAGATGCAGCCTTGTGCCAGCATCCTGGGCTGGCAAGGGCAGATTGGGCTGGACTTCAGCCCTCTTTACATTCACGCATCCATATCTGGCAGCTCTGGTGCCAGCTCCTAACTCAGGACCCGGGTGTACCCCTCCCTCAACTACAGCACTCTTCCCACACCTCTATCCTGTGACTGACTTCTCCTCCTCTTTCAGATTTCGAGATAAACGTGTGATCAGGGAAACCTCTGACTGTCCCCAGACAAGGTCAGGCCCCACAGTGCACTTTGCACTCTCCTCTAGCAGCAGCACTTGAAATTGTGATTGCTCATTCCAGTCTGTGAGCCTGTGAGGGCAGAAGTCGTGTCCATCCCATGGCCCTTCTGCAGCACAGCTGACCCTCAGGAAGGTTGGGACCTTCCTTTCCAGTAGTACTTGCAGCCCCATCACAGGCTGGGAGGCTCTCCCAACTCTACAGATAGAAACATTGAGACTCCAGGAAGAGCAGACATTTCCCCAAAGCTCATAGGGAGTGGGCACCAGAGCTGTGGGACCAGCAGAGCTCAGGCCTGGGAGCCAGCAAGCCGGAGCTCTAGTTCCAAAGTCACTAACTCACCCTGTGACCTTGAGCCTCAGTTTCCTTTCTACACAGTGAGAGGTCTGGGCCCAGGGTTTCTGAGGCCCACCTCACCACGATCAGAGCAAGAACAGGGGTACTGGGGACACCTGCCTGCTCAGGAGTCGGCCCAGCCCCCAGGGCCCTTGGGCAGCACTCACGTCTCTTCCTGGCACCAGAAGCGGTTGACGGCAAAGGCGATTGCAACGAGGACCAGGAACACAGCCACAGCTATGAGGCCCTGCATCCAGGGCTGGAGGTTCCCCAGGCCTGAAAAGAGGAGGGGGCTGCAGCAGGCACAGGCAAGTGCAGAACAGGGATGGGCTGGGGCCTGTGTTGGATGCCATCAGCTGCTGCCAAAACCAGAGGAGACATTCTGGGGTGACAGGGGTGGGAATGAGGACCCATCTGACCCCCACTGAGCTTAAGAAAAGGATGGGAGTTTGGAGGAAAGATAGAGACTCAGAGAGAAGATCGGAGTTTGAAGAAGGAGTGAGGAGCCAATGAGGAAACAGGTCTGTGTCTGAAATCCAGGCAGCCTAGAGCCTCTTCCCCTCCCCCGGTGGGTCACATGCAAGGCCCCCCAGGGAGTGCCTGGGCCCCGAGGACCAAAGGGCAGCCCCCTGGACAGCAGCCTAGGCTGTGCCAACTGGGTGTGGCTCCCAGAAGGCTGAGGAGTGGCCCAGAGCTGACAGGTCTGGCTGACATCTGGAAGATCCTGTTCTGTAACAAGAGGCTTCTGTGTTGCAGGGAAGTGTGTGTGGGGGTGGGGCAGGCAAGGCTGCTCAGACAGAGATGCACAGGAGTGGACCAGACGCCTTGAGAGAGGAAGATGGAGGAGTGAGATACCTTTGGGTCTTGGGGCCCAGGAAGGAAGCTTCAGAACCCAAGCCCCTTTTGGCTCCTCCAGCTGGGTGCCCAGGGGACTAGGGACAGAGACCAGGTTGAGGCCCAACCATGCACCCTTCACTGCTTTTTGACCCATAACACCAACTTAAACCCCCAGGATTTCCCAGAAGTCTCTGCCCTCAGGCACTGATGGCCCCAAAGGGTGCTCCTCTTCCCCGGGCATCACTGTGCTCCACAAGCCTGTAGGGAGCACAGCCCTGCAGAGGAAAGACTGCAGGTGGAGGTCTCAGGAGGGAACAGAGGTCAACAGGAGACTTCTGAGGGGTCCTGCCTCCGGGTCAAAATACCTGCATCCCCAGCACCAGCCTATATTTTGAGGCACCCAAGCTGGGCATCAAAAAATCTCACTCTGCCTCACTTCCATTCAAAAGTCCTCCCTTGAGTCTACCTTGAAGCTTTCTGCTGCAGTGAATGCCCTGTTTCTTCTCTGTGCTCTCTCTGAGCCTGGCAGGTATTGGGAAGGAGGGAGGGGTCTGAAAACTCTCCGGCCTGTGGCCAGGTCAGACCTTGCTTATCTCTGGGGTAGCAGAAGATACACAATGTGGTTACTCTGAGTTTCATACCTGCCAAAAAGCAGTATTCATTGTTCCCCCAGAGAAACAATGGTTCAGAACCATGGCTCCTCAGGTTACTGGTTGTTCTAGCATTGAGTTAGGGCTCATCCCCTGGGAGGCCCCCTCCCTGCTCCCTCCAAACCCTGAAGCCAACCCCCTCCTGCTCCTCCTCCCATGTGGCTCTGGGGTGAGTACATAGAGCATGGGGCAGAGCCTGGGGCAGGAGAAAGGTGGTCTGTGTCCTGTCCCTTCTTGCCCTGCTGTGTGACATGTGTTACTCAACCTCTCTAGTCTTCAGTTCCCCAGAGCGCTTCCACGATCTGAAGGACAGAGTTGAGAGCTCAAGAGAAAGTGTTCGGAAAGCATCTTTGCCAGCCCCCTCTCGACCCAAGTCCCACCCGCAGTCACCAGACTTTGGCTGCAGATGCAGCCTGATGGTGCAGGAAAGACGACAGATGTTAGGGTGTGGTGTTTCTCTGGGTGCAACACTCTTCCACATCACTGACCTGGCAGCAGCCCCAGGAGTGGGCAGGGTGGAGTTTATTGTCCTCATTTTATGGGTGAGAAAACTGAGTCTCTGAGATGTGCAGCAATTTGCTCAAGGCCACGCCAAGACAGGCCGAGCTGGACAAAGAGCTCAGGGACATGGATGGGGCCACTCTGAGTCTCTGCCCCCTTCCCAAGCCCAGGAGGCTGAGACAACGAGCACTTAGGTCAAAGCCATGGGCAAACCCCTGAAAACACCATTCCTCCCCTGGAGCAAGCCTGCCTTTAAGGGATGGCTTGGGCTCCACTCGCACTCTCCGAGTAGCTCCCGACCCCCTGTACTCAGGACCCAGCCATCTCTAGAGCAATTCCTACTCTTGGGGCCTGGGTGTCAACTCCTGTTCCTCCCCTAAATCCTAGACCCAACATCCACCTTGCTGTTCCCACTTCTCACTCATGGAAAACAAGTCACAGACAGAAGCCTGGCTCAGAGGTCTCTGCCTTTGGAGGTTGCTCTGGCTAGCCTAGTCCCTGCTTCCCGCTCCAAACTACAGGAGTCAAGGGTAGTGGAGGAAACCAGGATACCACGCCAACCACCCCTGGTTCACCAGTGCCCAGCCCAGCCCTCTCCTCATTGCAGCCACCAGGGCTGGCTCAGTCCTGCTCTAGCTACCTTGTTGACAGCTGGCAGGTGGCACCACTGTGAGCAGGCCCAGAATGACCAGGCTGAGGGCCGACATGGCTGCAGGCAGGGCTTGTGGGCCTTCCCTCTGGCAGCTGGTGTCTGGGCTCCTGGAGCTGCTGTAGAGTTGATCAGCGTCTGCCTGAGATCAGCCTGGGCTCCGTCTGGCCCTGGAGGTGAGGAGCTAGAAAGGAAGAAAGCGAGGGAGGGAGGAGAAGGAAAGATGGGGGTGGAGAGAAACTGCCCTCCCTCCCATGGTAATGAGCTGCCGGGCATGGCCTGGCCACCCCTGGCAGGTGCCCAGCCCACTCAAGCATTGGAGGTCATTTTTCAGAGGCCAGCTATGGAGATGGGTCTGAGGACTAGGGAGATGTGCAGAGAGTCTCAGCCTTGCCTCCAAGCCCCACATTTCCCCAGAGTTTCTGCCTGAGCTCGCCCTTCCTGGCAATGGGGCTGGACTCTGGGGAAAGGAGTGACATATTGTCGCTCCTGCCTTGACTGAGCCCAGTGGGTGGGGCTTCTTGGAAAGCTGATACTGGGATTAAGAAATTTGCTGGCTGGCTTGGCTCTGCTCAGCTCAGGGAGCCCAGGGAAAACCCCAGAGGCCCAGGGAAGGCTCAAAGCTTCCCCTCTCCCCCAGAGCTTGGCCTATTTTCCTTTCTTCAACCCACCTGTCCCTGCCCCACCAAGCCAGATCCTGGGACCCTGATCCTAAGACACAGCCCAGCTTGTGTACCCCCATCCCTGGCCTAGCCCAGTAGCTTCCTGAATCCCCCCCTCCTGCAGAGATCACAACAGAGAGACTGAAGGTCCCAGCCCCCAGCCTTCCCAGCCCGTGACCAAGCCCTTACCCAGCCCAGCTAACCTAGGCCCCAACTAATGCTTCCTCTTAGCCCCTCAAAAACCAGGTGTAGTCCCTCAAAACCAGGCAGGGCCTCCCTCAGAAAAGATCTGGGCCCAGTTAGAGGCCTCAACAGCTACCCTCAGTCCATCTCCATCCATCATAGGGGCAAGAAATGGGTGAACACAGTCCCACTGTGGAGGGCAAAGGAAGGACACCTCCAGGTGGCAAGGTCTGGGGATTCCAGGCCCTCACAGCTGGGAGCAGCCTTGAGAAAGGCATACCCATCCCCTGGACCAGGGAGGCCACAGAGTCAGATCCCTCAGAAGAGGCAAAAATCCCATACTTCACCCCCCAGGATCACATGGTGTCCATCCAGCCCTACAACTCAGGGACTGAGAATGACCCAAGTACCTGTTGGGGCCCAGGGCCAAGGTTATGCTGGGTCTCCTCACCCCAGCCCACCCCAGGAGTGCAGGAAGCCAAGATGCTGAGAGCCTGGCTCCACAGAAAGAAGGAGCTGGCAGACAAGGAGCAAAGACTCAGAGATGGAAGGTCCTCAGAAGCCAGGGCTGAGCAGGAGGCCCCTCCACAGCCTCCCTGCCCCAAAGCCACCAAACTGCTGTACACAGGGCCTCCTGGGCAGCCTTTTCTATTGCAGGATGGTTCTGCCAGTGGGAGCACTCAGACATTACATCTTGTACCTACTTCCTGTGTGTGCCCATGTGTGTGCACACACACATGTGCAGGGGGGCCCACTGCCATCCAAAGATGGGGTGTATCAAGGTGATCTAAGGGAACATTGCTTGGAGTTGAGTGACACCTTCCATACTTGTATGTCCTGTTCTCCCTCCCTACCCCAACTTGGTGTTCTTGGAATCTTCTGGCACTGTGCATGTTAATGAACAGCCAGGGAATCACTGATTGGAATGTAAGGAATGGGGTTGAATTTAACAAACATCTACTGATACCTTCTTCTAGGATTTTAAGCAGGGAAGACACATGGTCAGTTTTGCATTTGAGAAAATACCTCTGGACAAAATGTGGAGAATGAAAGGGGCATGCAAAGACTGGAGACAGGGAGACCAGTGGGAGGCTGCCACAGTAGCCACCACACCAGTGACGTGGCCAGCAGCAGGGGGTGATATGGGGAATGGATCTGAGCCCTGTTAGGAGCTAGAAAAGACAGGTGCAGTTGCTAGAACACAGTGACTAGCTGAGAGTGGGTGGAGAAGGGGAAAGAGGGGAAGTGGTGACTCAGGTTTCTGGCTTGGGTAGCTGGGTGGCGGGTGGTGCCTCAGGAGGAGTCACAGCAAATTTGGAAAGTGGGGAGGACTGACGAGCTACAGGATTAGATGTACTGTGTTTGTGGTGCCTCTGGACCCTCCAGAGGGACTTGTGTAGAAGGTAGCGAGCTCAGGCAAACAGTCTGGAGTAGAGAGCTAGATTTGGAAGCCATCTACAGCACAGCAAAGGGAAATGACATATGCAGGACGTGTGTGTGTGTGTGTGTCTTGAGAAGAGAGCAGAAAAAGGAGGGGAGTGATGGTCAGGATATAGCCCCAGCACATAAGGGTCTCTCAAAGGAAGAGGGGGCAAGATGGAGCAGGAGAAAGAAACCCCAGAAGTGAGGGGTGTCCCAGGAGCCAAGGAAGGAGAGATCTGAGAAGGGGTGGGCAGAGAAGTCACTGCTGTGCCCCCTCCAGCCAGTGCTCCCCTGAAGCAGCCCAGCCTCTGCCAACAGCCCCAAAGTCCCAGGTTCTGCCTTCCTCACCCAAGCATCCCCCACTTCCCTAAAAAAACCTGAGAAAAAACAAGGACTCCCTGGGCCAGGCTTTGGGGGTGGTGGGAGAGGAAGATGAGCAGAAAGGCCATCAGGTGACCGACAGGCGGAAAACACACCTCCTGGGTCAAAGTCCCAAACTTCAGAACAAAACAAGTTGTTCCGGAAAGGGGGGGTGTGGGTGGACACTTGGCATTCAGGCTGGTCCCTGCTCCCTGGAGGCCCTCACACAGGGACCATGGACAGAAATCAGTGGTTCATGAACTTGGATGGGGAAAACATTACATCTGTAGTTCACTGACTCCCCCACTACATGGACACAGCCCTGGTCCCCATGGTAACAAGGTGGATTCCCCTGCTGGTATAGCTTGGTTCCAGGGTCTGGACTCTGGTCTCAGCAGCCCCACAGGGCTGGACCCTGTGTCCTCATCTCTGAGCAGCTGTTCCATCAACTCTCAGTTCCTCCCTCTGTTCCCAGCTCAGCTCTAGCACCCTGAATCATTAGATCCCTTAAACAAGCCTTCCATCTAGGTGATTACCGTTCAGAAGAGCCTCAAGTGTTTCCAGGAGTCTCCTTTCTCCCCACCCCATGTTGTCCGACATCACATTTGTTGCCAGCAGGTGGCAGTGTCAAACTCCAATCCCAGGCTTGTGGGGAGGGCAGGGGGCCAGTTTGTAGCTAAAGGATCTGCATATTCCCCTCCCTGTGGCCCTCCACTACCTACCACCTCCAGGGGTGGTTTGGAGAAAGGAAAAGTGGATATCGACATGTAAATAATCATTGGTGCTGGGAACCACGCAAGTGGCATGCTCAGGGCTGTGGAGGAGGTGATGCTAGGAAAAAAGTTAGCTGGATTGTTGGACTGGGCAGAAAGACAGCTTGGGGAAGGCAATTCAGGCAGAGAGCTCGGCCTGAGAACAAGCAGGGAGACACATCCCAGAAGGTATTTACAGCACAAAACTAAAAGCTTTCTTCACTCATTCTTATATCCCATCTTGTTAATATCTTTACTGCCAGCCTGAGAGCTCCTGGAGATCTTATTTTATTCATTCAAATAGATCCTGCTTAAACCCTTTTATGGTGTCCACTGGCTCTTAAAATAATATCCAAACTTCTTCACATGGATTTGAAGAGCCAGACAATCTGCCCTTACCCTCTTCTTAAGACTCATCCTGTCCCAGTGCCTCCTGTCCCATCCTAACAAGAAGTCAAATGGATCCACCAAGTCTTCCTTTAAATATCACTTTCTCCAGGAAGACTTCTTTGACTTCCCTTCTCTCCCAGCTAAAGCTCTATGAGTCTTCCCTGCTCATCTCTTGATAGCCATAGTCACAAATTGCAACTACACATTGATTTGTGTATTTAGTCATTTTAATATCTGTCTACCCAGAAGGAAAATAGTACGTCTGTTCTGCCCCCAGCACCTACTTCTGAGCACATTGCCTGAGTACACACTGAAAAAATATTTTATAAAATATGTAAATGTATGTGCAGTGCCTATCTCTGGCCTGACAGAGAGTGGAAGCTCAGAGAATGACTGTTGAATGAATAAAACATCCTAGCTCTAGTTGGGTCCTTGTTCCTCTCTACCCTCTAGCTGTGGTGGCAGGGACTGGGTCTGATTCATCTCTGTGTGTGAATGAGGGGACACAGTCACCATTCCTTGGAGAGCTGCAGCTGTCCAACCCTGGAATGAGAGTGTCCTGGAGATTGAGCTCCCCATCCCTAGAGGTGTGGGAGCAGACACCAGGCACGAGGTCACCCAACAGGGGCATCTGCAGGAGGGGTTTGTCTTATTCTGTTCATGCTGCTATAACAAAATGCCTCAGACTGGGTAATTTATAAAGTCTGGAAATTTATTTTCTCACAGTTTGGGAAGGTGGGAAGCCAAAGATCAAGGCACTGACAGGTTTAGCATCTGGTGAGGGCTGCTCTCTGCTTCCAAGATGGTGCCTCTTTCTGTGTCCTCACAGGGCAGAAGGGATGAAGGGCAGAAGGGACTAGAGCGTTTCCTTCAGCCTCTTTTATTCGAGCACTAATCCATTCATGAGGGTGGAGCCCCCATGACTTCATCCCTCCCAACAGGCCCTACCTCTTAATACCATCACCTTGGGGTTTAAGTTCCAACATATGAATCTTGGAAGGACATGTATGTTCACACCATATCAGGGTTCTAGCCCTTCCAGCTCTGGAGGCCTGTGATTCGGTGATTCCAATAACAGACTATGATAGATTTTCTTATTTCAGTAAGGTTCTGAGGAAGCAGACTGGTTAGGACTGCGGTAAGCCCTCTCCTCTCAAGACTTAAAAATTCATCATATTAAGTGAAACAAGTCAGGCACAGAAAGAGAAATACCACATGTTCTCACTTATTGGTGGGAGCTAAAAATAAATAAATAAATTCATACACACACACACACACACACACACACACACACGCACACACACAAAACGGGGGCGGGGAAGAAGACATAACAACTACAATTCCTTGAAGTTGATACGACAAGCAAACAGAAAGGACATTGTTGGGTAGGAGGGAGGAGAGAGAGGAGGGAGGGAGG